TACCCCTGTGTGTTACAGGGTAGAACAGCGCTCCATAGGTTTTCTTGGCTATAATCCTTACGGAATGATGCCCCTGGGGGGTGTTCAAACCTCTAGGTTAGTAGTCAGGTGCAAATCCTTAGTGCCACCCGGGGACCCTTGCCCCAGCACAGTGCTTACTGATTGAGAGATGCCTGTGCCCCTCCCAGAAGATGATGCTCCCAGTTAGGTGTCACAGCTGACTCTGCTTTCACAGCAGACCCCTGGGGCGAGCGTTCTGACCAGCCACAGGTGATTGTGATTGAGCGCCAACATTATTTGAAACTCCGAAAGTTCAGTATACGTTGTTTACGGAAATGTTCTTTCTAAAAGGAAGTCTTTGTATCTAGCTGGGCTTTTTTGGGATTTTTTATTTTTGTTTTGTTTGTTTTACTTTTTCCCATGTCATTTCTACAAAAATATGATCTGACTTTGTAAAAATATTTACTCTTTGCTGTTCCTTTGTAATATTTATTAGCAAACTGGATTAAGAAAAAACGTAGAAATTCTATTTGTAAGAAAAATGTTTCCTGTGTGTGTATATCAGTAGAACAAAATTCTGGAATATAAAACTATCATTCTTTTTTTTAAGGCTATGTTTAATATTTTTTAAAAGAGATTTGTGAGACTAGAAGATTATTTACTAAAATGGGACAGTACATAGATGTTCTTTAAAAATTTCAGAACCATTGAGACCATCCTACCAAAATATCCACGTTTGACAGACAAGGAAATGTAGGCCTAAATAATTTGTGACAGCTATCGACCTTTTAGAAAATAAAAATTTGATGTGTCTCAGCTTTTTATGTTTCTGTGTGTCTTTCCCTCCTGGATATTGTTTCTCCTGCACAGTGTGATGCTCTGCCTTTATTAATCCATCAGATACTTTTTTAGCCCCTTTTGTGTGTAAGATGGAGCCCTGGTGGTGCAGTGGTTAAGAGCTATGGTTGCTAACCAAAAGATTGGCAGTTCAAATCCACCAACCGCTCCTCAGAAACCCTATGGGGCAGTTCTGCTCTGTTCTGTAGGGTCACCATGAGTTGGAATCAACTCAACGGCAGCGGGTTTGATTTGTTTTTTTTTTTTTTTTTTTTTTGTGTGTGTGTGTGTGTAAGATAAGGAACCCTGGTGGCATGGTAGTTAAGTGCTTGGCTGCTAACTCAAAGGTGGGCAGTTTGAACGGAGAAAGATGTGGCAGTCTGCTTCCGTAAAGATTACAGCCTTGGAAACCCCATGGGGGCACTTCTAATCTGTCCTGTAGGGTCACTGTGAGTCGGAATTGACTCTGTGGCAGCGAGTTATGTGTAAGGGACCTTGTTAAAGTACTTGGAAATTGCATACGTTTTTCAAGACATGGCCCCTGGGCTGCAAGTCATTCTGGAAGGAGAGTTAAGGCAGATAGAGGTAACTTTCTGTATTAGGTAATAGAAGCACCTAATGGGTGGTACAGACTATATGTGCTCTAATCACTCACAGAAGTGCTGTAAGGTTAGAAGGGGCTTCTTGCCTTGAGCTGGGATTTTTAGGACTGAGGGGATTTCAGTATGTAGGAGAAGACATTTCAGGTGATGTAGGAGCTTGGGAGGAATGAAGGTCACGAGCAATGGAATTTGGTGGGAAAGCCTAACTTTGTTTGGGAAGTAGATGTGTTTCGAGTTTTGTAAGGAAGGCAGCATAGCGTTTTGGTGAAGAGCACAGACCCTCCAACTCTGTGTTCTTGAGCAAGTTACTAAACTTCTCTGTGCCTCAGTTTCCTTACCTATAAGATGGGGATAATAATACTACTTACTCAGGTTACTGTAAAGAGAAAATGAGTTCATGATGCCTTAGAACAATATCTGACAATAGTTTAACACATTTTATGTGTTAAAGAAATAAAGTAAATTTGTGAAAGATTCAAATGGAAAGATAGATTGAGGCCAGGTTGTATTTGCCAGGAGTTGGATCTTCTCCAACAGGCATCGGAGAGACGTCTTTGGCCTGGTAGATTGCACGTTGAACCAGTGATTTGGGGAAATCAGTCTGGTTGCAATGAGTGGAGAAAGACTGGCGGCAAAGTGCATGTTCAGATGGGCAGTAATTTAGGCTCGAATCACCTTTACATTGAGACTCTATTCGTCTATCCATTTGCCATCTAGTCTTTTCAGACTACACCATGATTTACATGTTTGTGTCCTCTAATTGGCTAAAAGTTCCTTGAGGATTTATGAGTGATTCCTGGCTGATTCAACTTTGTATCCTCAGGGCCCACTGCTTAGTAAGCGCTCAATAAATGTACATTGAACGAATACACATTTATTGAGTACTTACTATGTGTCAAGACATATGCTAAGTGCAGAGGAAACAAAGATGAGTAACTAACAGCCCCCAAGAAACCCATGGTCTTTGGAGGGAAGGAGCATGTGTCAAAATGGCAGCAGTGTGTTGAGTGCAGTATTTGTTGAGGACCATGTGACTAGTGCCATGGTAGAGTAGTGAACAAGCTACTGTGGCAGCAGGGAAGAAGAGTAACTAAGTGGTGGAGAAGAATATCAGAGACAGTCTCGCAGAGCAGATGACTGTGAGCTGAGACTGGAAAGATGAACAGACGTTCAGCAGGCAGATGTGATGAGGAAGACTCTAACGCAGAGCGGATGTCACGTGCAAAGGAATGAAGGTGTGAGAGGATATGGTCTGTTTGGCGAATCATTTGTGGTTCAGGATGGCTAGAAGCATGGAGTATATAGATGGGATGCAGTCAAAACAGCACTGCTCGAGTGGAAGCTGTAGCCTGCCGTGATGACCTTCAGCTGTGCTCAAGATGTTGGTGAGCCATTGAAGAATTTTGTAGGGTCAAGTGAAGGATTTTTTTTTTTTTTAATGGGACAGATTTAAGTAGACTTATATACTGAGGGGAGCCCTGGTGGTACAGTGGTTAAGAACTTGCCTGCTAACCAAAGGTTGGCAGTTCAAATCCACCAGCTGCTCCTTGGAAACCCTACGGGGCAGTTCTACTCTGTCCTATAGGGTTGCTATGAGTCAGAATCGACTTGACGGCAATGGGTTTGGGTTTTTTGTTTTTTGTTTTTTGATATATACTGAGGGGAAAGAGTTGATATACAAAGAACGAGATACAGGAAAGGGGATAATTGAAGGAGTAATGTCTTGAGGAAGTGAAGTTTATAAATACCATACTGTTTCTATGAGCTGTATCTATGTACGGATGCTGAAGTTGCAAATGAACTCCTGTTGGAGAAGGCCACACTAATGATATTACAGGAACTGAGAGGGCATCGAAAAGGGGACATTGCAGAGAGAAATGGCAACTTTGCTATGCCTGTGCCTGTAGGATCAGTTGTTTTCACAGTTTTCAAAATCTCAATCCTGTGCACAGTTAAAGGTTACTTACAAAGCAAACATTTTTGGAAAACTAGTGTTCCAAGCCCTGCCGAACTCTGGTTGTTCTACGTATCAAAATTCTATATCTAGACAAAGACACAAGGGAAAGATTAGTCCAAAGGACTAATGGACCACAACTACCACAGCCTCCACCAGACTTAGTCAAGCACAACTAGGTGGTGCCTAGCTACCGCCACTGACTGTTCTGACAGGGGTCACAATAGAGGGTCCTGGACAGAGCTGGAGAAAAATGTGGAACAAAATTCTAACTTACAAAAAAAGACCAGACTTACTGGTTTGACAGAGACTAGAGAAACCCTGAGAGTATGGCCCCTGGACACCTTTTTAACTCAGTACTGAAGTCACTTCTGAGGTTCATCCTTCAGCCAAAGATTAGACAGGCCTGTAAAACAAACAGTGACGCACATAGTTCAACCATGTATACAAGACTAAATGGGCACACCAGCCCAAAAGCAAAGATGAGAAGACAGGAAGGGCCAGGAAAGCTGGATGAATGGAAACAGGGAACCCGAGGCCGCAAAGGGGAGAGTGTTGACACATTGCGGGGTTGGCAACCAATGTCACAAAACAATTCGTGTATTAATTGTTTAATGAGAAACTAATTTGCGCTGTAAACTTTCATCTGAAGTACAATTAAAAAAAAATTCTATATCTAGAAAAGAATTTGGATAGTTTGTAAATATGGAATTTATTATAGAATTTGACATATACATAGCTTTCAAAGAGTAAATCCCTGAAAGCTTATTAAACTGAGTTAGCAAGTGGGTCAGAATTCCTTTTAAGAAATATAGTGTTAACTATGTATCTGAACTCCCATTAAAAATGCTAGAGGAAAATATTTTAAAACCATCTGGTCTTCAAGACTTAAAGACTAGAGGATTAGTTTTCTTGACTAATTTTTACTCCTCATTGATTTGTTTTTATAGAATACTTCTGTTGATTTATTTTCAAAAGTAAGAAGTAACTAAAACTTAGTTTATAGTCTATGTTTAGTGGCTCTTATCACCAGCAGTATTTTATGCAAATTATTAACTGTCACATTAGCCTGTGATAAAATTCTAGCTAATTTGATTATGCTTGAACCACCACTGGATTTCAGTGTTATCTTAGTAAACAATACACGGATGGTTGTTTTTTAGTAAAAGCTGTATATTATGAATGCACTGTGGGAAATAGGTTTTGTCCTATGGTGAGAGAAAGAAATGTGTAATTCTGTAATATGTGGTAGAAATGTCTTCTACAGAGCAGTCAGTCTTAAGTGGTGCTCAGGATCATACATACATATCTTCTGCCCAGGTTCAGAAAACACTGGGTAGGTGCTTTCGAAACGTATCAGAAGATTCCCTGTTGTTAGGGCCTTTTTTAGCCCATCTCTGAGGTGGCTCTGATTTGAGATGTTTTGTGAAATCACTCTTCATTGTTCTACCTATAAAATGATACTCTTGCCAAATGCACCATGATTTGACTGTGACAGTTGTTATTTTTTGACGGGAAAATTTTAGTTTACATTAATAGTTGATAGTAATCTATAATTATAGCAGTTTAATCTGATAAATTATTTTATACATCCTTCGAAATTTCAGGGTGTGCTGATGGTTGGACCACCAGGGACCGGTAAGACTATGCTAGCTAAAGCTGTTGCCACTGAATGTGGCACAACATTCTTCAACGTTTCCTCTTCTACACTGACATCTAAATATAGAGGTGAATCTGAGAAGTTAGTCCGTCTGTTGTTTGAAATGGTGAGTGCTGATATATTCAGATTTCAAAGTATTGTTTGTGTAGGCATATGATACTCCCCATAATGTAGGTCGAGTCACCTTTTTTTAAAAAGGGCAAATGAAATTGTATTTTAATAGTTCCTGATGTGGTAAAGAGACATGGGATGATGGGTTTTGTAGGGTAGTTGGTATGTCTTTCTCTCTGAGGTAAAAGAAAACCCTTGACTTGTCCAATAAATGTAGAGGAAGAAGAGACTTTGGCTGTGTCTGTGTTGCCTGCTATTTCTGGATCTCTAATCAGCTAGTTAGGAACCCTGGTGATGCAGTTGTTAAGCACTCAACTGCTAACTGAAAGGTTGGTTGTTTGAACCCACCCAGTGGCTCCGTAGGAGGAAGACCTGATGATCTGCTCCTGTAAGGCTTACAGCCAAGGAAACTCTCTGGGGTGGTTCTTCTGTGTCACATGGGGTCACTATTCATGAGAGTCAACTCGACAGTACCCAGCAACAACAACAACAATAAGCTAGTTGAGCAGAAGTATCTTTTAGTATATATTTTAAAAATCAGTTTGAAATTAATCTGTCATTACCATTATTTCCTTTTTCATGAGGGATTTGCAATAATTGAGAATGAATGTTTGAGGATAGAGGTTGATGATTTATCTTTAAATTTGTTTTTCACTATGGAAGTTCTTAAACACAAAAGTAGAATAGTACACTGAATCCCCATGTATTTGTCTCCCAACTTCACCAGCTGTATAACTTATCTTTTATTTTCAGAAATTTCCTTTTTTCTGATGTGGATGATTGATTTAACCTGTCAGTAACCAATGGTGGCATTAAAGCAGTGAGAAATTTCTATTGCATTTGCCATCATTTTTAAAAGTGAAAATGGCATTTTAAAAAAATATTCAGATTGTTTTCTGATCATTTAATGGTTTCTTTAAAATATTTTCACAAAGGCTAGATTTTATGCCCCCACCACGATCTTCATTGATGAGATAGATTCCATCTGCAGTCGAAGAGGAACCTCTGATGAACACGAGGCAAGCCGAAGAGTCAAGTCTGAGCTACTCATTCAGATGGATGGTAATCAATATTTAATTACTGTCTCAAAACTGTTATATTTCCTTTTTGAATTTTGTATAGACTCAGACTTTGGAAATGCTAGATGAATGAACTGGAAGACAGACTTAACTGGTTGTTCATCCACCCATTTTTCATTTATTCATGCATTCAAAAAGCATCGATTGTATATTTGTTATGAATTATGCACCATTTCAGATTCTGACATTATAAAAAAATGGACCATCACTGCCCTCAAGGAGCTTACTATTTAGGTTCTAGAGGTATGGTCTAGAGCGCCAGGGTTGAGACCCTTTTAAAGGATCTGTAAGGTCTAAACTGTTTTCTTAGGAATACCGAGACATTGCCTTTCATTCTTATTTACTCACAGTGTTCAGTGGAGTTTTCCAGAGGCTATGATGTGTGTGATATTGTAACAGGTGGAATGCAGAAGAGGATATGAGAATCCAGCTATTTTCTATTAAGTCAGACATTAAAGAGATTTGCAAAAATATGAAACAGTGCCACTTTTCTTACTATTTTTTGTTTTGTTTTGGAAAACAGTTATTTTTTCATAAGAATATTTATTTTAACAAGTAATGTTGTTTTAGGTGGTGTCAAGTAAGTTCCGACTCATAGCTACTCCATGTACAACAGAACAAAACAATGTCCAGGCCTACACCATCCTTATAATTATTGTTATTCTTGAATCCATTGTTGCAGCCACTGTGTCATTTCACCTCGTTGAGGGTCTTCCTCTTTTTTGTTGACCCTCTACTTTATCAAGCATGATGTCCTTCTCCAGGGACTGGATCCTCCTGATAACATGTCCAAAGTATGTGAGATGAAGTCTTACTGTCCTCTCTTCTGAGGAGCATTCTAGCTGTACTTCTTCCAGGACAGCTTCGTTGTTTCTTCTGGCAGTCCATGCTGTATTCAGTATTCTTTGCCGAACACCGTAATTTGAAGGCATCAGTTTTTCTTCGGTCTTCTTATTCGTTGTCCAGCTTTCACATGGATATGAGGCGATTGAAAACACCATGGCTTGGGTCAGGTGCGCCTTCATCCTCAGAGTGACGTCTTTGTTTTTTAATACTTTAAAGAGGTCTTTGGCAGCATATTTGCCCAATGTAATATGTCATTTGATCTTCAGACTGCTGCTTCCATGGGCGTTGATGTGGATCCAAGTAAAATGAAATCCTTGACAACTTCAATATTTTCTCTGTTTATTATCTTGATATTTTGGTAGTAATGGGTTTATTATTTTTATTTTAAA